ATTGTTTTATCTTAATTGTAATATTTTTAGAAAATAATATATATAAGTTCTAATTTTCATAAAAAATTATGATAATCTTATTTTTTTTTTTTGATCAGCAAAAACAAAATTTATTATATAGAGCACAAAAGGTACTCTGCCCATTTACACTAATCAAATATGCACTATATCACAAAATATTAAAACATCAAATATAGCCATCATGTAAACATAGCCGCACCTAAACAAAGAAGCATAAAAACAGCATTCAATTGCATCTGCAGCTTAGTCAAGCTTCCAACACCCAAAATCCCACAGTAACAAACCACCAAAATGCACATTGGAACGAGCTTTACCCTTCCTGATCAGCACTCTTCCAGACTGCTTCCCGTTGCAGTTTCTTAGCACTCTTTAGATTCTTGCGATGTTGCACAATAGCGTCCCTGCACTCCCTTGGCCTTAACATCCAATCCGTATACGAAAACACACACCCTGGTTCCTTGTTTTTGAGCCATAAAAAAGATTTTGCTTGAATAAACTCAAATAATTGCCCTTCAGTTATCACCTCTGTCCTAAACACATACATATTCCTCCAATACCAAATAAACCAAGCCGTAACGAGAAACATGAGAGCCCCTAAATCCCTCAAAACTCCTCCACTTATACCAAATACCACTGACTCCCCCAAACGACCCATATCATTTGGTAAAACACTCTGAATCTCCCACCACCCCAAAACCTTTGTCACGCCCCAAAACCCAATTTCGAGACGCGACAGACGCCGTGCACTCGTGAGACGGGTCCCACAAATGCACAAGGCTCGGAACTTATCATATCACACTCTGATACCATCAATATCTGAAGATCAAATCTTTAAAATTTACTCTGATATCATAAAATCTCCAAGCACACTCTAGCTTACAAGATCATGATTTATCTAAAGCTATGCTCAATTTACAAGTGGCTAGCCTTCTAACTCGTCACTTCCCGTGGTTTCCCCGTCCTTGGTTTCATTTCCTGAAATGGTGGACAAGGAAAAACTATGAGATAAACTCAGTAAGTAAATTATGGAGTGCCCCTTATCAAACTTAAAACATGCCAACAAGTACAATCACGAAAACAGATACAGTATGGGCACGAAATAGACGTCTCCTCTATAGGTCACGGCCAGTGTTATAAACCTCCCACTGGCGGGCTATAGAAATTACTAGTGTTTAACCCCCACTAGTAGGGTTACAGAAACGAACCGGTTCTATAAGTAACATGTCGACATGTGCTAGCATTTATAAACCTCCCACTAGCGGGCACACGAATAACATGACCATATCGGAGACAAAACAGGCAGAAGTTATCAGAAAAATCATAATTCATCAATCACTTTCAGATCATCAGGACAGTCACTCAAATTTCAAGTAGGCATGCTCAATTTCATGAAAAGTACAAAACATTTCACTTCAAATCAGTCATACTTGTGTAAAACGGGTTTAGTCCCACCACCACTTCAAAAACAAATCAAAACATGCTTTTAAAACAGTACGGGCATTACCATAAATTTACTTACCTCACTCGCATAAAACCGAGCACTCAATTCACGCACTAACTGACAGAACGATCGGGAACCTAATCAAAACACCTCAGAATTAATATCGGACTATCACACATTCAAACTGAAATCATCATTAAGATCACTCCTAATCACAATGCTATTTCTATCAATCTCCACATGATCAAATATCTCCAAATTCGTTTTTATATCACAAACTAATCACTTAAATCCCCGTTAAATGTTGGCCCTCGGGGTGTGAACAGTGTCGGTGAACAGTACCCGACGTGAACAGTAACCCCAACTTTCACAAATTGGCCAAAACACTAGCTAATCTCACGGGATTTTCTCTCCAAAAATCACAACAAGCAATTAACACTAAATCACATAAATCCCACTTGAATTAGTGCTTAATCATGGTCCTAAAGTTACCGGAATTATCCCCAATTTTCTAGCAATTCACGGACACACAAGGCAGCAAACAAAATGGATAATTTAAGCCTTAAAAGGCTGCCACATACCAGAATCCAGCAAGCAAGGCCGGAGCTGCAATTTGGGGAAGAGCCGGCGGCATGGAAGGAAAATTCTGCAGGGAACTCACGAGTTTACCCAAAAATTGAAGGAAATAAGAGCATTTAACTTAAACCCAAGGCAATTAAAGCTGAAGAAGGGAGATTCATGGCTATTTCTTACCAAAAACCCAAGCCAATTCGCCCCCACAAGGCAAGAGCAGCCGGCGGTGAAGAAGCAGAGCAAGGCAGATCCGGCTTTTCCAGCAGGGGAAGGAAGATTTTTGGGTTCTAGGTGTGTTCTAGAGCAAGAAGGAAGGAGAAATCTCCAAGCTTTCTCACTAATTTCTCAAAGGCTGGCTGGGTTCCCTTTCTTTTTTTTTTTCTCTCGGGCTGCAGCGGGAAGACAAGAGCAGAAACGGGCTGGAGAAGAAAGAGGAAAAGGGAGAAAAGAAATAAGCCATCCTTATCCAAATTCTCCTCTTTTAAGCCCCTTGACTTTCAAAATATTCACATTAGGCCCCAAAACAATCTTTTCTCACAATTTAGTCCTTAATTAAATGCTAAAATTCCCGAAAATTTGGGGTATTACAACCTTCATCCATACTAACCATACCCTTTTACACCCACATAAAATATGATGAAGTTGCTCCACCCCCTCATGACAAAACACGCAACCCATATCGTCCCCTGACATCACAATTCCTCTCTTACATAAATTCTCTTTAGTCGCTAACCTATTCAAAAACATTCTCCACCCAAAAACACTCACTTTAGAAGGAACATATCTATTCCAAATCACCTTAGCCCATTTCTCCTCAAGAAAACTAGAAGTTGGTGTTAGAAACTCATATGCTGCCTTCACCGAATAACAACCATCACTACTATGCACCCATCTCCAAGAATCCTCCCTATCTATCCTCAACTGAAATCCATTGATCATTGCCCTAAAATGTTCTTCCTCTTCTGCTGCCCTCCCTCTACATCCACATCTCCACCTACAATCCCAAACCCAATTTTCTCCCCGCCACACACCCATATCCTTCAGACTTCCTTCCGTCCTTATAGCCACCGCAAATAACCTAAGATATAACTCCTTCAAAGACTTATCCCCCACCCATTTGTCACTCCAAAAATCCACACAGCTTTCGTCCCCAACTTCCCACTTAAAACCCCTTACTAACATCTTCGATAATCGTTCCGATCTACTATCCAAACTCACAATATCCTTCCATATCCGAGACATATTCAAACACTCAGCGGAAATAACATCCCTCTCCCTCCTACCCCCATAATGTTTTCCCCAAATCACCCTCTTCCATAAGCTATCTAAACCATCTCCTAATCGAAACCACCATTTCCCCAACAATGCATCATTCTTTCCCTCTAAATTAACCACTCCTAAACCCCCCCCTCCCTTTCTCCACACACATACACTCCCAACTAACCCATGGAATTTTTTTAGCCAAACTCGCTCCTCCCCAAAAGAAATTCTGCTGAATTTTAATCAACTCACCAAGAACACCTTTAGGAATCTTAAATAAAGACAAATAAAAAATAGGGATAGCAGAGAGTACCGAGTTTATTAAGGTAATCCGGCCTCCATAGGACAGTAGTGGGCTTTTCCAAGTGGCAAGCTTTTGATGAAACCGATCTAGCACTGACTTCCAAAACTTTTTCCTCCCTGGAGTTCCTCCTACTGGCAAGCCCAAGTATGTAAAAGGCACCTTGCCCACCCCACAGTGTAACATGTCTCCAGCACCTTGTAACCAACCATCCGAAACATTAAACCCATACAAATGACTCTTGCTAAAATTTATCTTTAATCCAGAGATCAATTCAAACCAAAGCAAGATAGCTTTCACAACTCTAACATTTTCTGCATCAGCCTTCCCTATGAAAACTGTGTCATCTGCAAATTGTAATAACGACAACACCACCCCTCCTCTTCCAATCTCCACCCCTCTCAAAAGCCCTTCACACTCAGCTTTTTTGACCATCCCACACAGACCTTCTCCCACCAATAAGAACAGAAACGGAGACAAAGGATCACCTTGACGAAGGCCTTTGGATGCAGAGAATTCCTTCGTTGGACTTCCATTTATTAGCACCGAAATCCTTGCAGTTGAAAGACATTCTCGAATCCATTTTCTCCACTTATCCCCAAACCCCATACTATCCATCATCCAATCTAGAAAACCCCAATCCACACAATCATAAGCTTTCTCAAAATCAGCTTTAAACATGAAGCTTTGTTGCTTTCTTCTTTTTACCTCATGCACTACCTCATTCAAGATTAGCACGCTATCCACCAACTGCCTACCACCAACAAAAGCTGATTGAGAATCACTGATTATATCTGACATTACCATTTTCAACCGATTTGCCAGAACCTTCGCCAACAATTTATACAAACACCCCAACAAACTAATAGGTCTATACTCCGAAAACTGAATTGGATTCAATTTCTTAGGAATTAATGCAAGGAATGAAGAATTTAGACCTTTCACTAACCTCCCATGCTGATGAAATTCACACATAAAGTTCACAACATCATCTTTCAATGTGCTCCAAGCGAACTTTATAAAATTAAAATTAAACCCATCCGTACCGGGTGCCTTTTAGCCATCACAACTATGAAGTCCTTCTTCAATCTCCTCTATTGAGAAAGGCCTTTCAAGCCACTCCCTCTGTTCGGCTGCAATTCTACGAAATTGAATCCCATCCATCACTGGACGATCCCACTTTTCCTTCTGGAATAATTGACAAAAATACCTCACTGCCTCCGCCTTTACCCTTTCAGGTTCCTCCACCCATCCATCCTCACCTAAGATGCCTGATATGACATTCTGTGCTTGTCGTGCATGCACACATCTATGAAAGAAAGTCGTATTTGCATCCCCAAGACACGCCCAATTGGCTCGCGATTTTTGTTTCCACACCGCTTCTCTTTTCTGTAATATGTCCCAAACTTCCTGAGAGCACTCCTTTCGTAACATCACCTCGTTCTCATCCAGATCATTCTCCTCACTTTTTTTATCCAACTTCTCTATTTGCTGTAACACACTCTCAAATCTTACCTCCACATTTCCAAACACCTCATTGTTCCACCTTTTGCATTCCTCCTTTAATAATTTCAGCTTTTTTTGACACTTAAAAGCTGCCCAGCCTTCAATCCGCATATTTTCCCAAGTAGCCGCCACAAAATCTCTAAACTCTGGGTGTTGTTGCCAAACATCAAGAGCTTGAAACGGCTTAGGACCCCAATCAACATTTCTTGATTTCAAAATAATAGCACAGTGGTCTGAGATTGAGCGTCGTACCCCAACTTGTGTCCAATCTCTTTCCAACGTACTCATCTTTGAAGATAACAAAAATCTGTCCAGTCTACTCATTGAGGTTCCATCAGATCTATACCAGGTGAACTTCCTATTCGTCAATTTGACATCAATTAGACCAGTCCCTTCCACAAATCGATTAAACTCTTCCATATCCTGTGTCTCCCCTAATCTCCCCTTCCTTTCTATTATACTTCGAACTGCGTTAAAATTTCCTGCTAAAAGCCACCTCCCACCCTGTTCCAACACTAAACCCCCCATCTCCTCCCACAACAAAGCCTTCTCTCTTCTATCACAAGGAGCATACACATTCACCATATTACAATTGAGCTGTTGACTACCCCATTCCGCAGAAATCCCGATGAACCCCCTTCCTTCAAACACCCTCTTTTTTACAAAACTCCTCTTATTCCATATGCACAATAAACCCCCGGAATTATGATAATCTTATAATTATAATACCATATAGATTATCAATTTATAATTATAATGTGACATTAAATAAAAATGACATATAACGAAATAAATTAATATATAAAATATTATAAATTAACCCTTAAATAAAAAAATCACTTATATAATGACATTGTTAATAATAAAAGTAACATCTTGCACGCATTGAGCATTTTACCATTTAACATTGTCAGGTATATGAGAGAAAATAAATATTAACCATGTATCTAATTATATTGGTGATTATACCATATTGATAGTGTCCGCCCCAGAAGTGAGTTTGCCATGATACCAAAAACATATGTGATGAGGCAATTAAATTTTTTTTTGAATATAGCACAACTGGGGGAATGGAGGAATGGGACCAGAGCTTGAATCCTGCCTGTTGGTGCCACCACTTCTTTTCCAAAGAGTTACGGTCATTGGGCCACACTGTGTTTGGCGAGAGCAATTAAGTTTAGCTGTATTCTACATAACCCCCGCAGGCTGCATCCAGGGACGGAGCCAGAAAATAATTTTCGGGGGAGGGGCGAAGTGCTATGTGAAATGTGCATGTTAAAATAAATTTTTTGACTTGTTGGAAAGGTGAGTTTTTTCACTTGGAGATTGTTTCTGAACAGGTTGCCTACAAAGAGGAATTTGAGTTCAAAGGGCGTTAATATGGATGGCGATAACAATTTCTGCGTTTTTTGTGGAAAAACGGTGGAAGATGCAGAACATATTTTTGTACAGTGCTCATTTACTTATGAAGTGTGGGTGAAGATCTTAGCTTGGTGGGGCATTCATACAGTGGTTGGTGGTAACGTGAATCAGGCTTTTTGACAACTTAGTCAAGGGTGCCAGTATGACAAAATGCAAGCTGTCTGGTCCTTTTGGTTCATCTCAGTCACGTGGCATCTTTGGGGCCTAAGAAATAAAGTGGTCTTTAAAAAGGTCGAGATGGATGGGTAAAAATCATCATTTACTCTCTTACTTTATAAAATTAATAAGTTTTAATTTTTTTTATAATATGATGATTTAAATTTTTTATCTTTTAAAATTAATAAGTTTTAATCCCTTACCTTACAAAATTAATAGGTTTTAACTCTTTACGTTATATTATAATATTTTTAGTCTCTCATCAATAAGAATTAAAAAAAATGGTCATCATCTAACATCAGATTATAACATTCTGTTAATTTTTTTTGTTGACTGTTAATAACCATTAGTATTTTGTTATAAAAAACATGAAATTTAAATTCAATTTCATTTGTTAGTTCTATTAACGGAATGCTAACAGATGCTAATAATCAATTAACAGAACTAATAATCAACTAACAAAACTGACAGTCAGTTAACAGAATTGATAGTCAATCAACATAACTAATAGAACATTATAATCTGATGTTAAATGAGGGTTATTTTTTTTCAATTCGTACAAATAAGGAGTTAAAAATATTATAATATAAGGTGAGAGATTAAAACTTATCAACTTTGTAAGGTAAAAAGTTAAAAATATCATATTATAAGGTTAAAGGCTAAAACTTATTAATTTTGTAAGGTGAAGGGATAAAAGTTGGTTTTAACCAAATGGATGTTGATAGATTAGTAAAGGTAATTAAAATTAAATCTTTTTTGTGGATAAGGGATAGAGCCGGTAGATGTGGGTTTTTTTTTTTTTTTTTTTTTT